TCCCGGCCCTCGCCTTCCTGCCCCCAACCCCACCCTTCCCCGGCTCCTTCCTTCCCAGCCCACGCCCGCGCCGCGCCCCCCGGGAGGAAGGAGGGGATGGTGGCCGAGGGAGGGCGCTCAACTGGGTCGGCTGCGGGGCCGAAGGTGGGGAGCGGTCGCTCAGGGCACCCCGGCCCCGAGCCACAGGCGCCACCGGCTCAGGCCGGTCCATTCATTCTCCAGGGCTGGGCACCGGCGAGGGGGGGGGGACGAAACGCCCGGCCCCACCCGGCTCCCCGCCCCCCGGGCCCGGAGGAGAGCTGCAGGCAGCCCGGGAGCGGCGCGCTGGATGCAGTGGGTACGGGGCTGGGGGAGGGGGATGAGGAAGGCCCCGGTGCAGCTGTGGCAGCGGCCCCCGGCCCCGGCCCGGCCCCCGCGCAGCTCAGGGTCAAGCCCAGCCCCGAAGGCGTCCAAATGGAAAGAAGGATCTGCGGCAGCCCAAGCCGAGATGCGAACCCGAAATGCATCCCTTATAACCGCAGCTGCTGCGTAACACCCAGCAAGGGGGGGGGGACACCCCCAGCCAGGGAGAGGAAGCACAATCCCCCAGCCCAAATCTGGAAAGACTCCCGGGCAGCTGCGACGCCTGCGTTAACCACTCCCGACCTACCATGGTGCGAGCGATGGAGACGCGGGGCGGGCGAGGAGGGGTGCACCAGCACACGGGCTGTGACGGCAGCTGAGCCTCGGCTGCTGCTGCTGCTAAGGCGCTGGCTGCGCTGCACGCTGAGTCTGAGTGCCGCCTGCGCCGCCACCCAACTGCGAGTAACGGCCCGAAGACGCGAGACTCTCAGCACCACTGCCGTAGCGCGAGCCTGCGCGCCGTGCAATATATACGGCGCCCCATATCCCTCCGCCGCGGCGGCACCGCCTCGCGCAGGGCGGCGCTGCGGCAGCCGGGCCTCACCAGCCGGCACCGCCCCCCAGCGCTGGGCGCGACGGGCCTTAGCCTACCCCGGGGACTGCGCGTGGCTTGCTGGCCTGGGGCGCCAAGGTCCTGGAGACAGGTTGCCTGCTGGGCACGACCTGGCGACGCCGCGAGCTGTCAGCCTGCGCCTCTCGCCCACCCCCACTCCACCCCTTCCACTAGAACCACTCCGACTCCTTCTGGGGGGTCCCGAGGTCCCCAGCAGCCACTTGGTGCCCCGGGAGCGGCTGCGCGGCCGCGGAGGAGAGGGTTCTGCTTGGGGACTAGGGGGTTGGCCTTGGGGAAGACTTTGGAGAGATAGTTTACATTCCCCATTTTGGCGAACTGTCCATGGCATGTTATAGAGGCTATTTGCTAAGTGTGTCATATTCATAGTTTAACCATTCGAATCATGTCTTTACATTTCCATTAAATAATTTTTTAAAGATGCCTGAAGGTTTGTCCCCGAATGTTTTGTCCTTTTTCTTTTTCTCCTTATGGCAAATTCTATTCGACCTGCTTCCAGTCTTACTAAAGTTTATGTGAGCAGTTTCTGTCGACCTTAAAAGCCATGTTTAAATCTTCCTAATTTTCCTAGTCCTGGAGATTCGTAAATTCATATTCATAAATTCATAGACCTAAAGAAGGAAAAATATCCCAAGAATCCCTTTGATTACAGCGGGAACATACACAGCCAATTGCCCCTAGTCTGAAGCTACACTATCTTAATTACAATCTTAATTGTATTGCTTTTAAAACAAAATTTTAATCGTTAAATTTACTGTTCTTCAATCTTTAAGTTAGAAAAAGAAACATTTCAGTTCTTAATTTGGAGGCCGGAATTTTTTAAAAAGCTTGACAAAATGCTGCAGTTTCTTTTCTTGCCAACGCAGAACACAGAATTTGATCTTTTGTTTTCAGGGCCAGGACAAGTTGCAGGTTATCATTGGCTTATTCTTTCAGAGAATGTGGCACAATGTGTGATGAGCATGCTCTGCTGGGAAGGACTTGGTGTGGTTTGTTTTCTGGCTTTGTCAGAGTCTGCAGAGTCTTCTGTTTTAGAGGAACAGAAAATGTTCTGGCAGGTTGCATCGGCCACAGGATTTCTTGGGATCATCTTGGGCAGGGTGTCCTATGTGGGACTGTGCTTGTCAACCTTTCTGGAATGCTACACAAGGGACGAACCTGCTGTTTAAAGGGGGCTGTGGCAAGAAGCCAGAGAATACTGCTGCCTTCCTTCTGCAAATTAAAAACCACTCACAAATCTACACACACAGACTCCAGTGTTCATAGAGAACAGGGTACAAAATCAATTTAAAGACTCCTCAGGAATCCGATGAGTTGCAAGTCTATCTACACGGCCAAGCTCATTATTAGAACCGTTTCATTCCTAAGGGAACTTATTTTTTTTTCTGTCAGACTTTTCATAGAGTAGTTAGCTAAATGCAATTTAAAATTTGGCATGCATTGATAAGGGAGAAATAATGGCCTAGAGATGAAATATGATTAATTATTGAGGATTCATTTGGTTCTAATAGTCTTCCATTCCTTATAATTATTTTGGTTACATAGTTACAATTTATGGCTTGGCAAAAACCGTCAAATAATTTTTCCTATCTCATTTAACTCTATTTTCACTAAGCAAAATACTTTGAAACTTTTTCATGACTATTTTCTGTTCATCTTAGAATTATTTTAATCATGATAGTAAGATGTTCTGATTCTTCATATTTGACAATTTCTTTTGGAAGTTCTTTGATGTATCAAAGTGCATCTTAGCTTTCAAGTATATGAGGCCATGCTTTACATGGCTTTATGGTGAGTTTCACACGCTGAAACCTAAGAAGGTCAAGTGACTTGCCCAGGATCTTCCCATGAGTCAGTAATGGGGCATAAAATAGAGCCTGAGTCCCTGCTCAGGGGCTCTAATATTACATTATATATTAGTAAAATCAGTGTCTGAAAAGCTTAAACATACCATGTTAAAGATTTGTCTATTTCATAGGCCAGATTCTTCTGACTACTTAGGTCACTGAGTTTTCACAACTAAGTGAATGAACTCCTTAAGTTATGAAGAGATCCGCAATAAAAAAGCAAGCCGCATTATAATGTCATAATATACCAAGAACCAAAAAGCCTCTGGAACATTCTGTGATATTTAGATCAAATGGTTCTATATGACATTATTTAAATCAAATCATGTTAAATAGAAGAAAAAAAGAATGCAGTTCCAGGCCAGGAATCTCAAGACCAACCCTATCACATGGTGGTGCTAAGACTCAGCTTCTCTCCAGGACCCCTTTAATCTGACTTTCATGCTGCCAAAACCAGTACCACCTGGGAGACACTTACACATTGCCAAATTTGGCTGCCAACTTGAGATGCAGCCTTGGGCCCCTGAATCACACTGTGTGCTGCCCCTGAGGAAACAATTACCAGAAAAATTTGCCTCCATAATGCTGGTCTCTTATTAATCACAATTAATATTTCAGCTCCAACTAAGCAGCATCCATTGTCCCAGCAAAGCAAAGGTTTCACTTCCATAGATTCTTAATTCAAATATATCACACAAATGGCCCAGATAGAGCTTTGAGGGACCCAAACTTTCCTCTGAAATTTCCAGACTTCCATAATCTGCATTTATCTTAGGTTTTTGTTGTTGTTGTTGTTGTTGTTGTTGTTGTTTTTTGACAGAGTCTCACTATGTAGTGTTGGCTGGCCTGGATATCCTTATATAGGCCAGACTGGCCTTGAACTCACAAAGATCCTCCCGCCTCTGCCTCCCGAGTGCTGGGATTAAAGTGTGTGCCACGACCTCTGGCTTCTCAAAGTATATGTCCACAGAAATTTTCATTAAGCTCCTAGCACTTAATGGCATTTCCAGCTCAAAGTTCCAAACTCTTCCACAATCTTACCAAAAAACAACATGGTCAGGTTCATCACAGCAAGATCCTGATCAGGTACCAATTTCTGTTCTAGTTTACTTTCTGTTGCTGTGATAAGCACTATGACCAAAAGCAGCTTGAACGGGTTTATTTTAGCTTACTGGTCATAGTCCATCATTGAGGGAAGCCAAGGCTGGAACTCAAGGCAGGAGCACAAAGAAAAGAAGAAAGATGCTTACTGGCTTACTCCCCTGGGTTGCTCACCTAGCTTTCTTATACAACCCAGGCTTGCCTGCCTCAGGGATGGTACCACCCACAGTGGGCTGGGCCCTCCTACATCAATTAGAATTAAGAAAATATCTCACAAATATGGCCACAGGCCAACCTAATAGATGCAGTTCTTCCGTTGAGGGTCTTTCTTCCCAAGTGACTCTAGGTTTGTGTCACGCTGACAGCTGATGCTATGACACCACCCTTTTGCCCAAGGTCATGGAGATGCAACATGGCAAGTTGGGGTCAGGGATAGAGAAGAACAGAGCAAAATAACTGGCCAGTAATAAAACTGGACTCATGACTTGGACCTCATTAGTTCTGTGCTTTAACCAACTGAGCGCTAAGTCACAAGCAGCCAATGGTTATACAGGTTTGGGAATTGAATATGTGAATTTTTAGAGAGCAAAATGCCCAATAAGATAAGATCATAGTTTTTTTAGTTGTTTATATTAAACTCAAGCTCCTTTAAAGAGGCATCTGATCTATTGTGCAATATGGGTTTTTTTGTTTTGTTTTTTTCTTTAGGCTTCTTTGAGACAGGCTCATACTATACAGCTAAGGCTGGCCTAGATTTGATAAGTATCCCAGGCTGGCCTTGAATTTCTGATCAACCTGACCCTGCCCCTGGAGTGCTGGGAGTCCAGGAGTGTACCACCAAGACTAGCCCTTTAAATCATACTATTTTGGAAATAATTAAGCACAGTTTTCTTTATTAGTACAAAGCCAAGTACAAAAGTAACTTTAATCAGTATTCAAATGATAACCAGAAACTTCCCATTTCTACCACATGTGCAGGGTCAGGGTCAAAGCACTGCCCAGATTTACAACAACAGGCAGTCAGCAGTTTACAAATGATTCAACCACTATTTGGTGAAAGATATATGACCACAGGAAGCTGGAATGACAGGTTTTTGAGTGATTCAGTTTGCCTAAAGAGCAGAGCTAACTGGTACAAACTGGATTTCATCAAGGGCTTGATGGGCAGAAAACTGAACTTTAATGATAAATTAGATAAATGGATGCTGAGTGCCGATTATATAAAAAAAATGGCCTCACCAATTCCAGCAGAGTTAAGATCTGGTAAGTAGGGACTGGGGAGATCACTCAGTGGATAAGAGTGCTTGCTGCACAAGCATGAGGACCTGAGTTTGAGTCTCCAGCACCCATGTAAAAAGCCAGGATTAGCAGCATGTGCCTGTAATCTCAGCATTGGGAGATTAAGACAGACAGACCCAGAGAACTCACCCCAGTCAGCCTACCGTAAATGGCAAGCCTCTGGTTTAGTGAGAGACCCTATCTCAAGGAAATAAGGCAAAGAGTACCAGAGGAAATACCCAACATGCTCCTCTGGCCTCCACACAGGTGTGCTCACCCTCACACTCACATGCATGTGCTATGCACACACAACACATACACACATAAAAATAAAATAACAAAAATATCTAGAAGTAACAGTGTGGCTAGATTTTCATAATGAATAGTCTTTTTTAATATTTTATTTAATATTTTTATTTTATGTGTATGAGTGTTATGCTGCATGTAAGTGCAATGCCCGCAGAGGACAGAAGAGGGCGTTGGATCCCCTGGAACTGGAGTTACAGTTGTTAGCTGCCATGTGGGCGCTGGGATTTGAACCCTGGTCTTCTGCAAGAACAGTGTTCTTAATCGCTGAGCCATTTCTCTGGCCCATGAATAGTCTTTGTCCTGCTTTATAGAGCTGAGCTGTCCATTATGGTAGCCACTAACCATTGTGTAGCT